CATCCTGTATAACAAAAAATTCTAACTCTAAATAATTGTTATATACACATTTTTATGTTAATATAAAGTAAAGAAAAAGAAATTGCAAAGTAGTGCTTATAAATGTATAAAACAGAATTTATCCAACTAGTTAAAAACTATAAATTTAATATTTGGAGCATTTGCTTTATTAAAAATGGTATAGGTAACCGGTAATTTAGTTTCAATTTTGAGGAAGGTTTTGCTATCACAGCTAAATTTTAAAGGCACTATCGAAAAACAAATACAAAGTAGTGGAACCCGCAACAAGTGAGAAAAAAATTGGTTCTACGGCAGAGATTGTTTAATTAAAACTCACTTGGATCACATCAGTCTTAACAATTTCTATATATTCTTAATTAACATTTTATAACATTGGTAACAACACTGTCAAGTGTATATTTTAGTGATATTCATAATTTTTTATGAAGAGGCCATTGATAGTTTGACTACATCCATGATCAATTAAATTTTATTATTATTTAATATAGAAAGCAAAAAACAAAAAAAAACAGATAAAATTTCTTTGTTTGTGAAGTAAATGAAATCTTGATAAGTTACTAATGGTACCAGACATAAACTAAAACCAAATATAATAACAAAAAGCAAGAATTGAAGAAAAAGCAAAAATTACGAACTCACAAAAAAAAATAAATTAATACTAAATAACATGAAGGGGCAAAGGAGATAAAGGGGAGGAAAAGAAATGCCATGAAATTGAAGATATGCAGGATACAAATGAAAACTTCATTTTTATAACATAAGAAAATCCTAAAATATCAGTACAATTAAGGATAAAGAGAAAAATTACATCTATGAAAAAGATCAAAAATTAATCAGATGAAAAGATTATATGATTAGATAGCACAACTAACCCTGAAATAACAGAGCAAGAAGTTTACAATAAAAAAAACAAAAAATACTAAGGCACTGTAACAAGATTAAGAGGATATATATTTAAACTTTTAGAGAACAAACAACTCATGTTCATCAAAAGTAACAATATATTGCAAGAATGGCTCGAATCAATATTAATAAAAAGTAAAGAACACAGAATAATTAGCGTAATGAGCCAGATTCTGAAGATTCTTCTAAATGTGGTTCATTCACGAATTTACAAGAAATTTAATGAAGTTAAATGAGAGGAATTTATTGATTTCGAAAGAGCATTTAACAAAGTTCAACATTAAAACCAACAAATCAGAGCTGAATCAGATAACAAAGATCACAATAAGAAATCTGCATATAATAATAATTTTACAAAATATTTCGGATCAGATAAGATTGTACACTCTCACTTTTATCAGAGAAGCTTTACAATATTCAATAGAAATACCAAAAGTATATCAACCAATGGAGAGAAAATCAACAATCTCAGATACATAGATGAGATCATACTTCTAGCATAACATGCAGGAAGCCTATAAAATATAACCGACGTTTAGAAACTGAGTGAAAAGTACGGCATGAAACGTGACTGTAAAAAGCCACACATCCTTAAAAACGAGAACTAGACATCATTGAACAATTCAGAACAGCAGTTGATATAATTATTTGGACCAATGTGACAGTAATCATCCAAAGATGACAAGCACTAGAATTCCACAAGAAAGGATTTATCTACCAATTTTATATAGGTACTTAGGCAAAAATATTATTAAAATATTAAGTGTAAGTAATTTCATAATAACATGGCCATTATTTCCGGTGGAAGATATCATTAATAGTGTAATTATGATTACCATTGTATTATCCATGAGTTCTATTATAGTTCCATCTATACATATATAGCTATAATCCGAAAAAAAGCCTCTAATTAGATTTTTTAACCAAATAATATTTCAAATACATTGCAAAATAATGTAGCAAAATCTGGAGCAAACTTTAACTCTGAATGTTTGTGAACCAAAGATGAGCAAACTGAACAATCCTTTATTGTTAGTATTTTGCACGAATTCAGTTATTATACCAATTTACTTAAAACAATATTTCTTTGTTCATTATAACTTCAACTATACTATGAAACTGAACTTCAATAGAGAAGTTTTTAAAACAAGGTTCATGAATACCTAATTTAAAAATATGTTATAAAGAGCATACACAGTAGATAATATACTAAATATAAAACGACATGTTTAAAAAGGCCGTTAATTATTTTTTCAATCCATCAATATAAATAATAATAATAGATAGGTATTTTTAACACCGTTTTCTTTTACATCCAATAGAACTAGATATAAACTAGTAGTAAAAAATTACTCACTATCAATTAACTTTTTCACATCATAGTGATTGTCTTGCCAATATAAGAACCACATAAATTAAAAACTGGGCTAATAGATTTAAGTATCATGATAAAGACAATATGCTAAACACAAAATTGTACCATGCAAATGGTAAGATATATAATTCCAAAACTTATTGATTGATGTGAAAGCTAAAAATACTACTTAGATCTATTACGTCCAACATTAAAATAGCCATTATCGCAAATCTCTTGGTATATTACCTAAAAGTATCCATAGATATATCAAGTATTTGTGGCAATATAACTAACGTACATATGAAGTAGTATATTTTTATTTTCATTTATCGATTCATACGAATATTTCTCAATATGATAGCTTTCTCAAATGCTTTGAAGATCTATGTCTCATTCACTATTAGAATTATGCAAGTTGAATGACGTAATTGCGGAATCAAGAAAAGTGATTTAATGAGATTAGTTCCGGACTAGGTAAAAATCTAGAATAATGTATCTTATTATTATTATTATTTGATTTGTACTATAGATACACACAAAAATGTCAATTATCAGCCATTTTAAAACACATTGCATCACACTGTCCTTGCAATATTGATACCCCATAAATACAGTTACAAAACGATAATATAAAATTAACTTTTAAATCTCAAGGACAGTAATAAAGGACATTTAAAGATTACAAATCCATTATCTAAATTATGTTCTGTAAACACTGGCAAGTAACGAGTACATTACTTACCAATGTATTTGGATGAAAGCAAAGTAAGAAAATTAACCAAGTATAGCAGATTAATTAATCCAGACGCAGAAACGAAGGGTAATTATATTACAGCAAGAACAAAGAAAAATACATTTGATATCAATACTCAATCTGAAAAATATACCATCAAGTAGAAAGAAATATACCTGACTTTTTCATAGTGTCCTATATAAAATATTATATCAGGAAAACCGGATATAAAGGAGCTTTTCAAGACTGTTCACAGTGAATAGAGGTTTAAAACAAGGGGATCCGCTATCAACGAACTTATTCATCCTAGAATTAGAAAAAATCGTAAGAAGATCAAATATGGGCACAAACAGGATTATTTTCAATAGCAACGAACAGTGCATAGCTTACACGGACGATGTGGTGATACTAGCGAGAACAAAAAACATCTAGAAACATTTTTCCAGAAATTTGAAGAACTGAAAAGATACAGACTAACAATAAGCCCAACAAAAACAATAGCAAATATATCAACATGAAAGGAGCAGAGGCTATCTATAGTTTTTATAGTTTCAGAATTTGACTACTTAAAAGTAACCATAACAAATACAGGAAAAGAGATACAGTGAAACATGGATTATAAAACAGCAGGAAGAAAAGAAAGGTGTTCAGAAAAATTTTTAGAGGAATAAAGATGAACAAATAAAGAAATGAGGATGTATGAAAAATAAATAATTACAGCAAAAATATGAGCCCAAAGAGCTAGATCACTCAGTTACATTATAAGAATGTCAGACAACTAAAATGTTGAAACAATAATGAAGTAGGGAGAAATGAGAAAAAAAGAGGATGTTTAAAGAAGAAATGGTTGGAATCACTAAAACAAGACTTGTCAGAAATAGGTGAGAGATTGAAGAGAAAAAGCAAGGAGGCGAAAAAATAGAAGGAAATAACCAAGCCTTTGGAAGCCAGGGGCCAACAAGACCTGTAGAGCTGTTATATATTCAATTTTATGGGAATAAACACCATTGATATTCACTGGTTCAATTTCCACTTCAAAAATCATTCTCAAAATAAATATTAAAGAAAATATTCTTCTATTACTTAAAAACAAAAAAAAAAATACTTATAATAGTTTAATTTTACATCCCTCACTCATAATTCACAGATACAATACATATTTTAAAATGGAATAGTTTATCATGTCATGTCTGAATTGTGATAATGAGTGTGGCATATAAAATTAAACTATTCAAAGATTTTTTCTATTTCTATGTAACAAAACAAAATATTCTGTTTAATTTGAATTTTAAGAACTATTTCAGATGTGGAAAATGAAACAACAAATATAAAATAATATGAATTAGAATTGTTTAATTACTCTCAAAAAATATGGCAGGTAATATAAAAATGTCACAAGTAAAGGGCTTCAGAACTGTTTTTATTTCTTCTATGTTCAAATCTCCTGTGCTCTAGTGTCTTTAGATATATAAAGATATTTCATGTTTGTTTTAAACTTTTAATAAACACCTGAAATTATTTTTCTTAGTATTTGTAAAAAAAAAACAATGTTATTTACTTCTTTCTTATCTATAGAGACAAGCAAAATATTTTCCCAAAATTTCATCTGACACATTTTGTTCCATCATTTATATAGATAATATAACAGAAAAGAGGAAGTCTATTTCACACACTAGATCAGTAAACATTTACAGTGCATTATACCCTGTAGCATTAATTTATTCTATGGAAAACCATGCAAAATTTCAAGCAACAGGACATTTTATCTATATATTGTTAAAACACAGATCTCATACTAGTGGTTCATACTGTTTGACAAGAAAACCTTAACAGTCTAAAAATGAAGAATATTCAACATATATCTCAAAGTCATTCATTATTTATGATCTTAACATTATCTGTCTAAAATTAATACAGTAGACAGTAACACATAGTTCCTTCAATATTAGGGGGTAACATTACATCTTAAAGAATAAGAGACAACTTCACAAAAAGGTTTATTAAAATCACAAACATAGAAGCTCTATTAAAAACGAAACACCCAATTTATAAGAATAGAGTTACATAATCTCCAAAATAAACTTGTAAATATAATTGTATAAAATACAATATTTAAAATCAAAATATAATTCCCAATTGCATATCCACCAAACACAATTGGTTTTGTACATTGATATTTCGTTCACAATTGTGTTTAGTGGAAACACACATCTCTAAACCTAAGGCACATTTTTACCCAATATATTTCAGTTTGAAATAAAAAAATTGATCCTCAAAATTATAATCAAATACTAACTTGTAGACATAATATATGTATAAAGTGTGTGGTGTAGATTTGTATAATTTATATAATACAGTCTAAAAATAACATATTATTAAACAAAACTTCAAATTTCATAAAATTATGAAATTAACATTCTGTAAGTACTGAAATTTATAAGAATTGTATATTTTGACGTTAATCTCTAATCAGTCAATAAAAAAGTCTAGCACCACAAAGGAAACTATTTTTGTTACTAAAAGAACTTCCCACAAAAACAACAACTTAAAGTCATCTTCAGCACCAGTAACATCCAATATTATTCACTTAAAACTACAAAAAAGAGATCATTTACTATCAGTAAACTCATTTGTCATGACTGTTATTCTTGAACTTGGAAGTACTAGGTTCATTATCAAAACCATCATCCTTTGTTTCACTAGAATCACTCTCATTTGGGTCAGCATAGGATTCACTAACATCTTCTACAGGATGGCGTGGATGTTTTCTTCTCATATGTTGTAGTAACTGTGAATGTCTGATGAAACCTCTATGACAAACAGAACATTTGACAGGTTTGTCAACTGAATGAGTCAACAAATGTCTTCTCAGTACATCGTTTCTTCCAAATTTTTTGTTACAAATTTCACAATAGAATGGTTTTATGTGTAAATGGGTCAACAAGTGTTTACTGAGATTGTGTGCTTGCTGAAAGCGTTTATTGCATATATTGCAAATGCAGGGCTTTTCTCCAGTATGAACACGAGTATGGCGTTCTACATCACATAGTTTGCTGAACTCTTTCGCACATATATCACAACGGAACTTTTTTATAGGTTGCTTTGCTTTTTTGAGAATATGAACTGGTTGATGAGCCTCGTAAGCAGTCTTAGTCCAGAAGCCTAGGTCACATTTTGGGCACATATAAGGGTGTTTACCTAAAAACAAATTACTATTAAGAAACATAAAAATTTATTACATTATTATCAATAAATATGTTATTTATCAAAAGCAGCATTTATGAGATTTTTACATATTAAAAATGCGAAGTATCTTAGTGCTATGTACATTTCATGCACTATTATTATATTGAGTATTAATAAAATATTCACATATGCACTAAAATAACCTCTTAATTTTCATTCAACTATTTACTGCCAAAGGTGCCAATAACTGTATGTATATTAGTTAATGGGTAACTTTAATTGTCTAATCTTCCTCAAACATAATAGTAATACAATATAAAAAGTAAGTAATATGGAAGGTCTTTTCTAGATTTTTATCAAAAATATAAACTAATCTCTAATAAGTAGTGTTATCTATGCTCATATAGGCAAAGTTGAGGAAAGTGTTAAAATATACACAAAAATATAGATATCAAATATCTGACTTTCAGACAGATAAATGTAAAGAATTAAAAGTATTTTCACAATTTATAATTAATTAAAGCCTATGCTGAGCCAGTATGGCTTTATGTTCACATTAACTTATTGTTACCACAACTAGAAAAATATATCCCTATAACTCAAACTCCTCTTCAAATTCCTTTCAAAAGTGAACTACCAGAAAAAGAAATGAAAATAATTTGTTCTTCAAAAAGACCCATTGCTTTGTGGTATTCAAATATAAGCAATATGATACACGAAAATTGCGAAAAGAAACTACTATATTTCACATCTGTTTTATCTGTTTCTTTTTTTTTATTCTTATACAATTGACATTATGTGCTGTTACAATTTATAGTTACATTGCAATTTTTTACCTTAAATATAAGCACTAGAGAGAATTAAGTACTATGGACTATTTTGTCAAGTTATATTGAAATATTAAACAGTAAATACTAAAAATTATACAGCTGAATAATCAATATTATGTGAAATTTATCAAAATGTGTCTTTTAACTATTCACTGAGATAGACGTTACCAGATAAAACTTTTAGAAGACAAGCATTGGAAATTCTGTAGCAGAATAAATGTGTAGAAAAGAATATCCCCTTATCCAACCAAATTCACACAATAAATCAGGATTTATAAGATCGACTATGTTAAATACTTACCACCTTTAACAACTTTAATTTTAACATCAGGATATTCAGGAATAGAAAAGACTTCTTGGTCATTTACTTTAATAATAACTGACTCAAATTTTATATTTCTTCCTTTACTTTGCGATTTTAACTGTTTAACCTCATTATCTTTTTTACTACTTTTAGGTCTACCTCTGGTTCGTGCCTGTAGATCGACATTTAAACTACTTGTTAAATCCGACTCTGATTTGATTCTTTCACAAGTGTTTACATTGGAAACACTTGCACTTTCTTGGATATTTTCTGATGTACCTACTTCCGAGTCGGGCATTACGGAGTTTGTTCGAGGCCAATATTAAATTTCTATGAATAAATCATTCTGTACAGTTTATGAAAAAAGTAAGGGACAGTTGTAGATATTTTTATGGTTATATTCCAATCAAAACAAGTAAAAATCCGAGCGTAACCACACACTTGTTGCCTACCTTCAAACTAAGATGGCGATGGCGGATGCGAACTAGAGAGATGGCTTAATATTTAAGTCGACGTTGCCAGATGTATTTTAAATTTATTCACGACTAAAATATTTTTCGAGACTGATTTTAAAACTACATATTTTATTATAGGTATCCAGTTTTAATTTTATAGCTTGTTAATTTTATAATTTGCAGTTGAATGTAATCTTGATGCTTGCAATTTGCAGTTGGGTGTAATATTGATGCTTGACATGAATAACTTATGCGACCATAACTGGATGGATAGATTTATTGATGTGGCTTTTGGCCTATTCCACTGCGAATTTTTCGGATCTATTGCAGTCCTCTAGCCCTAGTTTACATTCTCTAGCCTGAACCGTTTTAAAAGCTTAATAACTTCGAGACTGAATGTTACATGTAGGTGGCTTTTCTTCGCCTAATGCAAAGAACGCACATTTGCCAGGGTGTCACACTGATATAAAATAAGCTCTGTTGTTTCTTCTGGTTGACAGAATCTGCATAGGTAATCATCTGCCAATATCTAAGCTTTAACTGCCTATTCAGCTTACAGTGTCCTGTTAGGAGACCTACTATGGCTTTGACTGTTTTCCTGTCTTTGCTTATTAGATCTGTCGAAAATTTTGGTAAATGTCCTGTAATGAACTGTTTCGCTAGTCTTTGTCCTGGTGAATTCATCCACCATTCCAGATATTTGTGAGCTACCCACTTTCTCGTCCGTTTCTTGGTACTGCCTTTGAAACGCCGAAAAAACGGTTCAAGTCCAACGAATGGTATTAATGAGCTTTGTTTGGCCAATTCTTACCAAACATTCTTCTTCATCTGCCCAAGGACTTAGTAGCTTTTTGTATGGTAATACGAACATAGTAAAACGTAATTGTTATTTACAAAAAAATCAAACTCACATACAAATTAAATATGAGATAGGAGAGAAACATATGGTAAATGACGTGATAGAGAAGATTGAAAATAGGGAGACACAAAGAGAATATAACAAAACAGACGCAGACGGTGAAATGGTTGGTCATTAGAATCGCGAATATTATTAGACTTATATATATGTATATATATATATATATATATATATATATATATATATATATATATATATATATTATATATATATATATATATATATATATATATATATATATAGATTGAACGAAATAAATTCGGAACATACGAAATATTATGTATTTCGGCTCAATTCTGCTGTAGGTGGTTGACCAACAAAAGGTTGTCAAATAATTATATTATAAAAATCCAATACTTCAGCGGGCTGCTGGATTCTGAAATCATAAAAATTGAAAGCTACACATAAATCTACGATTTTATTATGCTGTCACCACTTATAGTCCAGGAAATGAAGCATTTCACCTCGCAATTTTTTCGTCCTGCGTGGATTGACTTGAAATTTTAACAGAAGGTAGGTAATAGCCAAGGATCAAAATCTATATCGAACCAAAGTGCGCCAAAGCCTTGGGGGTGGTTGCCAACCCATCTCGGGGGTGAAAAATTTTTTTTCGTTTTAACTACAGGTTTCGATTAAAAAAGTGATTCTAAACAAAAAATGTTCTTTCTATACATTTTTTTTTGTAAAACTGAGTTACTCGCGATTGAAAGTAACAACTTTTAGACGAAAAAATCGACGTTTTTAATCGATTTTTCGCGAATAACTCGAAAATGGTGCATTTTATCAAAAAAATTGTAGAGAACAAATTTGTAGCTTTTAAAAAGATAAATACAATTCATTTTTTAAAAAGTTTTTGCGATATAATAGGATCCGAAATATGGCCTATCAATGTTCAGTGGTTTTCTTCAAATGCCAAATTTGAAAGATTCAAAGTCAAATATCGGGAAAATGATGCATTTTTGGAAGAAAACTCACAAAACCTTTTTTAAAGAGCATAAATAGACCTATCATAAAAAAAGACCCCAACTCAAAAATTGAGTGAGTTATGATGAAAATAAGGTCAATACCTCATTTTTTTATGAAAAAAATCGATGAAAACAACCCCCTAACCACGCCCATAATTAAAATCGATCTTCACCCTTCTGCAATTCTCTTTGTACATATATTGTTAATACGTCCAAGAAGTTTGACCCATTTAAAATGATTAGTTTTAGAAAAAGTACAGCTTAAAGCGAGAAACGATTTACAATTTCATATTTTTTACCCTTCTTTTTTTAAATATCCCCGAAAATACTGAATATATGAAAAAAATAAAAATGTACTAAATTGTAGCTTTTTTTAATGACTAAAATTTTCCTTTATTTAGATTTGTTGTATAATAAATATTTGGCGAGATATAGCCGTTTAAAGCGTATTTAACTAATTCAAACCAAATCTTACCCATATTCAGGTTTAATATGTTATTTTATAATTTTTGACAATCAGGGGTAGTTTTCACCCCTAAAACCCTTCAGCGCACTTCGGTTCGATATAGATTTTGATCCTTGGGCTATCACCTACCTTCTGTTAAAATTTCAACTCAATCTGCAGGACGAAAAAATTGCGAAGTTTTAACTTTTTTCGAGCTTCATTTCCTGAACTATTATCGCTTCCTTTACGCAGACAACATTGTTGAGAGACAGATAGTTGAACGATATTTTATACAATGTCTATACCCAGATATGGATTTATTTTTGTCCAAGTTTTATATTGGTCCACTATTTCAAATGCAGTTCAAACAGACATATTATATTTAATTGTATGATCCGTTTTAAATTCGTTCAATCTGTATATATATATATATATATATATATATATATATATATATATATATATATAATATATATATATATATATATATATATATATATAATTCTTTGGTAGGTAACTATCGGGAAAGCGTCAAATCAAGGATCGGCTAGAGATGGTATAAGCCAGTTTGGTGTAGAATTCTGAATGTGAAATTTTCGGTGATAGGCTGTCACCTTCATCTGCACCTAAATGGAAAACCTATTTAGTACAAGTGGTGGAAATCAACATTTAAAAACCTACATTGAAAATGTTCAGTTGGTCCTCGTGGTGAAGAACACTGTCACAAACATGTTAAAAATATTAAACAATACATTTAAAATTTTAAATAAAAACATTACAACACAAAAGGGTATTTTTTCAAATACAACACAACAAAAAAATCTAAAATCTAAAAACCCACAAAAACCGCAACTTCATGTTGAAGGTAGAAAAGAAGAATTATTCTTCTTTTTTGATGACAAAGTTTCTGATTTCTGTCAATATCCCGATGTCATATGTAACAAAGTTATATTTACATCTGCACCTCATGGAAGTTAGAAGGAATCTTTTTAAGAACCAAAAACAGCAAGGAAATGAAGTCTTTTCTCAAGTGCAGGCAGGTCATCTGTGTATGTTATCATAAGTTCCCTAAATTCTCCAATCTGTTACATCTTGTCAAGTCCTGCTGAAGCAAAAAAGAATAAATACAACTTAAATTTTCAACATCTTTCTTAGAGTTGAGGGAGCTTTCTTACCATAGAGGAGCTACCGTTATGGATGTAGCACATTTCTATGAAATTTCTCTTAAATTGGTTGTCAAACCTTTTTAGTACTTGCACATTTTCATAGTTAGCAATGTGTCCAGTATTCTTAATATGTTGGCTAAAAGCTGTACTAGTAAGCTTCCTCACAACATCACTCTTGTGCAAAGCTATTCTTTTTGAGAGTTTCTGGCCGGTTTGACCGACATACACTTCCGAACAAGAACCACATGGAATAGAATACACTACATTGAAGTTATCCAGTTTTTTAACTCTTTCTGTTAGGTGAGTAAAGTATGTCCCTAATCTTTTGTACACTGAATTTGCTATCACTATGTTGAACTGTCTGAAAAGGTTTGTGATCTGTGGTGATAAACTCCTGATGTAAGGCAATCTCCCATAGAAAAGTTCTACTGTTTCTCCTTCTAATGTTTGTCTTTGGTGTGTTCTTGCTGTTGGCATATCTTGGAAGAGCAGTTTATTAAGAAGCATCTTAGGATAGTGATTTCTTCTAAGAATCTCATAAAGTAACTTGATGTTCTTATTATAGTTAGAAGGGTGACAAATTCTTTTTATTCTGTTTTTCAGACCTTTGATGATGTTAATCTTCTGCTCGTGGGGATGATACAAATGAAAAGGCACATATCTAGAATGTTTTCTTTCTGTACCAGTCCAACCTTACTGTATTGTCCTCATGTCTGGATACATTGGTGTCGAGGAATGGCACACTATTATTTTCTTCTGTTTCGACAGTAAATTGTAGGTGAGTGTTATATGAGTTGAAAACATTAAGAAAACATTAACTGCACATATGAGGTCGTCTACATATTGGTAAATGAAGGGGAACTGGAAATCAACTTCTTGAATACAGTAGTGAATTCATTACAATTTCTGCCAAAGATGGGGATATAGCTCCATCCATGGGTGACAGCCTATCACCGAAAATTTCACATTCAGAATAAAGTTCTACACCAAACTGGCTTATACCATCTCTAGCCGATCCTTGATTTGACGCTTTCCCCATAGTTACCTACCAAAGAATTGTATTCTTAGCGTCGTTATATACACTATATATATATATATATATATATATATATATATATATATATATATATATATATATATATATATATATATATATATATTATAACGTAAAACAAAAAAAAATATAATGTAGTAGAATATAGAGGCACAAGTAGCACACACAATCACACTAAGAAAAGGCATTAGAACGTTTATGCCCTTTGCGTTACGGCATACGCCAGTCTTAATCAATTTTACACCAACCTAATCTAATAAACGTGGTTTCTCCAAGACGATAACACCTAGCACCACCTACGAAATTAATGTGAATGGCAACTGACATTCCAATCATATTTTTGTTCTTGAAACTTCTTCTTCTTCTTTTTATATAGACATGACTCTGTCTGTTTTTCAATGTGCCTCCAGTAGGTTATCATTTCATCGTTTTCGAGGTATTCCTACTGATCGTCTTC